ATGCATGAGAAAATAGTGCATATTGGACGTGAAGAAAGGAGCAAGATGCACGTGGGGAAAAAACGCGACTGATTTAAATGTCACACCTGAATGCTCACATCCTTTTAATTATGTTTGAAATTATGAACATTGCTCAACATCATGAAAATTAAACCTTATTTTCAATAAGCAATCCTGAAAAATATTTGGGGGGTGCTTAACTTTTTTCCAGGTGTATATTATAAAATGTCATTTTCTGTATACACCTGGTGTGAATCATATAAATTTTAAATTATTTTAACTGTTTATAAGTAATTGTATAAGGAAAATTACAATCTGCATTTGGAAAGTTTTCTTTTCTTTGACATATTCTCTCACACTTTTGGGAAAAGTCAGATTCAAATTAAGGTGAATCTTAGGACTTGATTTCAACAACTAATATAAACACTTACTGCCTTAATTCTACGTAGACATTTGTCCAGCCATTGACGGATAGTTTGCTTGGCAACCTCTTCTTCAATGATGTACTCCAGCTCCTCGCGAACCAGTAGTTCTTCCAGCTGCAGAACTTTACGGATATCCACTGACCAGTAAGATAGCATGCTAAAACCAAAAAAATAAGATAGATACTTGTCTAGACATGACTGTCACATGGAAATCTTCAGTTACCTTCTAGATCAATGACAATCACTGGACATAATGTGCATTCTTGATGTCCAAACCAAAAAAATACAATAGATACTTGTCTTGGCACGACTGTCACATGAAAATTTTTTCCCATAAGAACAAAAGTAAAGTAAACTAGTAATGTTAAGAAAACCTTAAGTTCCAATTGGATGCCATCTTCCATCTTTAATATTGTTAGAATGACTAATAAGCTTGAAACATTAATTGAAAAAAGTAGAAAAATACCACAAAACATAATCCAGTAATTATCAGACCAATGAAGTTGAAGAATTAATTAAAAAAGGGTAATAAAGTCAACTTACGATGTACTGACTTCCCTCAAGCTTATTTCACAGCTAATACAGGTACTTTGATGGTAAAACAGAAGATTCTTACAGTTTAACTGGACTGAAATTATTTATTTTGTTTTCTGATATCAATTATAAAAAAAGTTAAAATTATCATTAGAATAAGATTCAACTCATGGTAACTAACAGAAAAACAAAATTAAGTATACAGCCTTAAATAATCATCGGTGTGATGCATCTTATATTAGTAATATTTCTGTTCTAGCTGGAGCTTCCAAAAACAATTACTTCTTACACTGTCTTAAGTCTGATAATCATAAATTACAAAGTAATCAGACTGTATAAATTAGTTTCATACAGAGTGGTTAGAGAGCATAAGTGTGGTCGTACTTGAGAACATCGTGGAAGGTAACATCTTCGCCATTGTGAAGCCGTTCCATTTCGTAGCACATGTGTTTGAAGAGAAGACGGTCTTTCTCTGGGTCCACTTCTAGTCGACCCTATGTTTAAGATGGAAAAAAAATAAAAAGTAAAGGTGCTGTGGTGGAATAAAGATATTCTCATACTTACTACTTATTTGATCTGTGTATTGGTATACATTACACCACATTTAATCTGGACAACTCACACTGCAGTACTACAGTTATAATAGTTGTGTGGTACAGTTAACAACAGAATAACCTAGTTAAATTTTAAAAGCAAACTTTAAGTAACTTCCTTTCTAGCTTTAAATGTCCATTAGGCTTTTTTTAGAAGTGACTAAAATGTTATGTAGAAACAACACTAAGTTGGAACAAATATGACAAACATTTAGTGTATTGCAAGATTGCATTCAGATGGATGAAAAATCCACACGTGAACATGTCCAAAGTTTTTATTGCCTAGTGAATGTCCAATGTACATTTATAAAGATTAAAACACACTTACCTTTAGAAGTCTAAGAACAAACTTTACTCTTCTTACAGGTATCACTCCCTAAACACACAAAGAGTATTACAGTATAGTCATACTGATTAATTAACTATCCTTAAACATACAGAGTATTACAGTATAGTCGTACTGATTAATTAACTATCCTTAAACATACAGAGTATTACAGCATAGTCATACTGATTAATTAACTATCCTTAAACATACAGAGTATTACAGCATAGTCATACTGATTAATTAACTATCCTTAAACATACAGAGTATTACAGCAT